ATATAGGAGAAAGTAGAAGGGCACAATAGACTGTTTTTACAAGGTGCCTCCTCAGTACTGTTGATGAATAGAAAGGCAACAGTAGGTTATGTAGGCCCACTCATTAATCCCTACCGTTTTCCTACGAAAACGGTGATTATAGGGTTTTATGGGTGGAGAATTAGGACACTTTAATAAATGCTAAATGCATTTTTATTTTACTATATCTAGAACTCTATAACCACCGTTTTCGCAAGACAAAATGTTGGGACTAGGGGTATATGAGTGGGCCTACATAAGCTACTTTTGCCAATATAAAATTCATTAAGACTGAAGTAACAAAGTGTTTCGGCAACTAGAATTGTCTGATAAGTGGATAAACTTTTAGTGATTATAATACGAAGTTTGAAAAGTGGAGCGAGATACCACCTGCCACTTGACCTTACAACTTGGCATTTAGTCATTCGTTACATACCTAAATGAGCCAGGAGCCTCAGAATTATGGGGCTCCGCCATTATCCATATATACAGGACGTCTTGTAACAGCAATCATACCTTTAGCCCAAATAAATGAATAGGTGCGGTCCTGAAGAACCCTGTGCTTTGAAAAAAGAGATTTATGTGCACACGACTCGCGAGGTCACTGAAAGTATACTTCGTTTAAACCTTACCACTCAACTTTCCACGGAGATACTTTCAACAACGTTAACAGTTCATCATTCAATTTCACCTTCTTTTCAGTTACTGTGAGTGAAAAAGTCTACCCGACTTTCTACTGACTCTTGTATGATCTTTCCAGCTTTGGTTTCTTCTTGTGCTAGTTTCTAAGCTTCTCGAGGGAGCTAAACGGACTAGAGAATGTGACCTGTACTGTTCCCTACTTGTTAAATTCTGTCAAAGCCTCTTTTGTCAACGGTACAAACTAACTGAGGGTGCTTTTCTCGTACACCATACTTGGAGTTTACATGGAATGGCAGATACAAGTACAGTTAATTGTTTAGGTAAATGAAATGTTGCGTGACGATAGTCGAATATAGGCTAAAGCCTGTCTTTTTTGACGCTATGGACCAGGCTCTTCTATGCTCGGTATCTCGCAGTCATTTCATCGGTCACTACGACCCGAACGCTACGAACAGTTATTGGTGGACAACGGCCTTGGCAGAAGACAACTAGTCACACGCTCAATTCCATGTTTCTACTGATAAGTCAGTAGTAATGAGATTATTTTTTGTCATCGTAAGAGGTATTCAAACTACCCCGGGTCTCAGCTACCTGGCTGTGTTTGGGGTGACAAAGAGAGGAAAACCACATAAATCAAAATACAAAACATGATGTCACGTCTGTAAATGCTTTTAAGGAGCATTGAGGGTGTCAATTTGCGCTGAATGTTGATTCGCACAAGGTAAAGTGAGTTTCAGGTCACCAGTCTCCTTTGGCAGATCGGGTTGACATGTATAATCACATTAGCCTCCGAAATGACAATTTGATTCGGTCGAACACAATATCTCGAAAATAAACTAGTTTTGACTGGATCATTCAGTTACTAGAAGACCAATAATTTTCTGAATGGCGTGTTAAAACACTCATCATCCCTCGCCCTCGTCGCGACAAACACCCCCAAAACGTACTCACCGGTGGAAAAGGCAAATCCATTGAGTAGCGCGCTGAGTCGCATTCGTAAGCACTCATTTTCCTTCTCGAGAAGTCTAATACGATCGATAGCGCGACGAAGAACCGCGGATTTATTGGCCTGTGAAAATAAATTGGATGGAAGAGTTAATTAGCGTAAAAATGCGTCCCCTCTGGATGACCAAAATGAAGAACAGGCAGTAAAGGTAAGAGGCCGAAATGAAAAGTACCCTGATCTATCACTTACAATAAGGCTTGGTGCTCCTTGAGCTTACCAAAGTCGGGGTGTAAAGGGGGCAATAGAAGTTTACATTACCCAGGCTTCAAGCATGTCTTGCGGCCAGGAAGCAATACTGGTTTAGTAAGGGATTCAAGGAAATTAAGTCAAGGCAACTGAAACCTGACAACACGGCCCGAAACTGTAACCTCGAGAAAATAGCGGCCCCTAGCCTAGGTCTACAAAAACCGAGTGAGACCAGAAGCCTCAAAAATATTTTCATGACAAATTAACACTGGAGATTAAGGGATTCCAACACATTATTCATATATCCGATGGTTTACTTGGGTGATTTTATTCGGCTGCTTCCACATATGCTCCGAGAAACTAAACTAGTAAAGA